ACACGTCCGACTATGATCTGATGTTTAAAAGGAAAATAGGTAGATTAAATAGGCGCCCGTGACTAGCATTCTACATGCAACCAATGCGCAGTGAAGAGGAATGCCACAAAGAGATCTTAGTGCTTGGTCTAACAATGGTTCCTCAACGCATAAATGACGTTTGATCTAATCACCCGTAAGAATTATAGCAGTATATTTACGATACATTACGTAAGATTGATGGAGTCACGGTATCCGAGATCTCGAAGAAACTCAAAATTCTGACTTTGCACAGGGCTTCACCTGTACTTATTACAATAAGACTGGACTTCACATTGTCAGAGACCAAAGTGACCCATTCCTTGCAATCACTGGGTGGACCTTTAGTAATAATAGTCCGGTTGGTACCACAAATCGCCAATCCAACAGCTTGTTTAGGCCGGAATATATAGTCTCGTTCACCTTTTCCGTCGACCATTACGACTGTGCCAAGTTGGATAGGGATTTTGAGAGAGGTTGCTGTAGGTGAGCTCCCTTCAGGTAAGTGAATTGCAAAGTCACGCCATCTGAATCAGTGCCCCTCTGTTGCATCACCTGCAGGAAGTTGACACTGCCGGCAATGGATATAAATTTGATGTGGACCATTGGCTGAATTTACTGTATTCTCCGAGCGTTAAAACTGTGCAATATCCCCGTCTTTTTCAAGTCGCAGCGCGTAGAGGTCGCGCTTTGCAATTTTAGAGCAGAACAGCAACTTCGCAAACACGAAAGTTTTAAAGGTACGTCAATCCTATTCATTTTATGTTCCAGTAACTAGTGGCAGACAAGATGTAGTAATAGTTCCCGGAATATGCAAAACAAATGATAGAGGAATCTACCTAATTTCACAAGTACGCAGGCTAGGCCACTTTAACTAAATTAGTCGTTGAAGACGTCCCGGTGCCCGAGTATAGTTTGCACCACAACCAATTTCCTGTGAAAATGCCTAACAAGGTAACGCTGCTGGACAGTAGCACCTGACGTGGGCTACCTTCCCGCAGGTATGTGCCAATGTGGTCCATAGAAACATTCGACCTAACACGCTGTCTATTGACTCAAATTAGATAAAATAAACCCAATGTGCCAACTGCAGTTGTGCTGGTAAGGCGCCAGTTGTATAAAAGGATTACTGATAACTGTTTTGAAAAAGTCGTGAAGCGAAAATCCTCAAAGCTGCCGCCAAACTCTTTATTGTCGTTCTCAGTTATGTCGGCTTTGAATACGAGGCGCGGATAAGGAGTTAGGGTGACTTAGTGTGGGAGCAGGGATGTTCTAACATACACATATTTCTTGATCGAATTTTGGGCGACAGCTACTTTTGTGGCAAAATGGTGCACCGTTTAAATCACTCAGACAGATTCAAGTTCACTAACACAAAACTAGAACCAAGTTCTCGTGATTTATTTGGATAACACGGTTGCCCGACAGGGTGCTGCTGCAAAGTCGAATATGTTCAACGAGGCGATAGACCGGGTTTTTTAACGTATGAGTGTGCTACGAATCTGAACTAAGCTGGCGTTGTTATGGCGGCGATTACCTATACAGAAATACAGCCTATGCGCGAAAAAAAGTTAAAAAGCACAATAGAAACAAACGATAGAAATAAAATTATCCAAGATAAAAAGTTTTGTTACGCATTTTGCAGTTCAAGATAGTCGTAAAGTACGACTTAAGGTGTCATGAATTAATTAGTAAGAATTGTCGACCAGGAGAAGGGAGACTGACATGGCCATCGAACGCCACCTAGGGTGATCTCGCGACTAATTACTGCTGTCTGACACAATGGTCAGTAAGGTATGAGCCAAAGTCTTACGGCCCGAAGTTTAGGTATAGTTGGCTGAGTGGCGACCAAAAAGAAACTTCAATTTCAATCAACACTGAAACACGGGAGCTCCCGTGTTTTTGATGCAATGCTTTTTGATTATTGGATACTTATCACCTTGCGGCCAACCCTAACGCTCTTGAAAGGAGCTCTACGACAAAAATGCATATACTCAAAAACTAAATCAGGTGAGATCGGTAAAATGAGCTCCTAGTCTAATATCAAAACCTAGTGACTAAGGGGCAAACGCAGCGGAAATCCCGCGTTGAAGAGCTGGGGCACTTTGATTGGCTGGGACATCAGTGTCCTCTATTAAGCAACAGGTCCGTAAATGCAGCGACTTTGGGGTAACTGTTGCCGGCAACTTGCAAGCAAAATAGTACCAGGACACGATACTAAAAATAAATTTGGCTTAGTACCCGTACCAGATGCTGTACTGTGCATACACATTCAGGCACTTTAGCGCAAACTGAAACGTGCCCACGCATTTCCCCTTAATAACGTCTACAACCAGATTGTCTCCAGTCAAAAGCCAGTAATGCTGCTATATATGGCACAGCATACTGTGCGCATCTATATAGAATCTATATAGATTCTATCGACGTGCACAGCACAAAGAAATACGTACTTCTTGGCCCCTTGAAAGCTCTAACATGTCTGCTTTACATTTTATTGTAAGTCTCCAAAAGACTTACAGATAACTAGATCCGAAACCTTAACTGTGCGAATACGTTGACGAAATTTATAAACGTGGAATAGCAAACCTGCAGAAGGGAGACGATGAATATTCCGGCCTAGTCGCGGGAGACTTTTTTATAGAGAAGAGTGGCGACACTTCCTATTGGTTATTTGAGCCCGCTGTGATTGTTTGATTTCCTGAGATGGTTCTTGTAATATTTCTGGCCCACGGCGATAGCGATAGGTGCTCAGGTTCGAAGACATTCTGGATATATTTATGGGCACAAAAGCGTATCTCTTTTTAAATAAAAGAACACAATCCAGCGTTCGAGCAAGGTGAGAAGTGTACAATGCGTTCTGATGAAATGTTGGAAGCAAATTATCATAATACTAGGTAGATGCTTACTGATCG